TAGCAGGTTCTAGGTGAGCACATTGCCTCATCCTGCAGAAAATGGCACAAACAAATGAAGACCAGAGTAGAATCTTTCTTGCCCAAATCTAAGAGAAGGAATCATGACTTATTCCTGCTTGTAGGGTTGTTGTAAATATTAATTGGATTGACTCATGTGAAGAAGAACTTAGAATATAGTGTTTGACACAGGGTAATCACTCAGTAAATATTTATCTGATGCTATTATAGCTTATATTCACTGTGTCCAGCATAGCAGAAAATCAATACACTTGAAGTGATTTTTAAAATAATAGATGTATTATTGTCTCTAGTATTTCAGATGCTCATTGAAGAGGATTCAGATTTAAGATTTTAACAGCAGAAATGGTTATGCCATATTTAAAACAACTGTGTGTGTGTGTGTGTGTGTGTGTGTGTGTGTATATAACCTGGTGATCAACATGTTGGGTCACTGATTGCTCCTCTAAGAAATCTGACCTAAGCTGCCTAGCAGATTTACTAGAGTCTCACCAGATTGATGAGCCTGTGAACTGGGAATTTGGAACCAATGTTAATCATCCCCAAAACAATTAATAGCAAGAGGGAAGCAAGTGTAGCAAAAGCATCTTAGTTACAAAATAAAAAAGATAGCCTCAGGCTCCATATTTCTATTTCAGCCTTGCCAATAGAGCATTCTGAACTCCTTTTTTGCAAGATATTGCTTGTCAGTCAGACTTGTCCAATGTCTTAGCAACACAAAAGGAACCTGGGGAAAGCCAAAGACTGCAACTGGATTGTTCATGATTTGATTGGTACCATAATTTAGTAAATTAGTTTTTGTTTTTGTTTTGAGGTTTCTTCTTTTTTGGTGTGTTTAAAGCCAAGGACTAAATGCAGCAATAAAAATTTAAATTACTTTGGCTCTTGTCTGAAATGTTCAGTATTTCACAAATGCTCTGTTCTTCACTCTAGTGCCAGGGAGAAGAGCAAAAATAGTCGACAATGATTCTGCATTACTGATTCACTCTACATTAGATTATATTGAAATATTATGACTTGCTGGGCTCAGAGAGTTATTCTGTTTTTGCCTCCAGCCATTTCAAGTACTTTTTGCAACTATGTAACAAAAATACAAAAATATTTGGAGTAAGACTTTCTAATTGGAATAACTTTTAGATAAGAAATTAAACTCTTTACTAAATAATGTTAAATTATCATCAGAATTACATTTTTATGAATAATTTATCAATACCACTCCAGCTGTTTAGCTATTTTAGTATAGCTGAACTCTAGGAATTATTGGTTTAATTGTATTCTCTTGAGTTCAGCAGAAAAAAAATAAAATCAGGTCATACATTTCACTATAAAATATTATCTTGTTAGACAAAAAAATTGACTGAATAAAAATACCCCAGGAAAGTATGTCTTTGGTAAACATATTCCAAGATGTTATTATTATGTTAGCACTTAATACTTCAATTTTTATAGCATTTCTTTAATCAAGACAAAGCAGAGGTTTTCTCCAATATTGTCCCAATATAGCTTCCATGTTGTATATTCCAGACATTTTTCTGTATTTATTTTAAATTAGATTCATGATCAGCACAACAGACACCAGTGTTTGGTTGAATAATTTATTTGTGCCCTCTGTTTAAACAGTGTAAAAACAATGTGCTATTCTTACTGACTTGCCCAGGGCTTCAGACATGTGATGATAGCCCTAACTCCTATCGACTTCAGTGCAGTAAAAATGTTACAGTTCAGCCTTGGCCGGTTTGGTTCAGTAGTTAGAGCGTCAGCCTGTGGTCCAGAGAGACCCGGGTTCGGATACCGCTAAGGGCATGTACGTCAGTTGCAGTTTGTCCCCGGCCCTGGTTGGGTCATGTAGGTGGCAACCACTTCATGTGTCCCTTTCACTCACTCACTCACTCACTCACTCACTCACATCGATCTTTCTCTTCTTCTCTTTCCCTCCCACTCTATCTGAATGAAAAAATGTCCTCGGGTGAGGATTAAAAAAAAAAAATGTTACACTTCATTGTGGATATGATAAAAACAAATACATTCTAGTTTTATAAGGCATTATCTCATTGACTTGTTGGCAATGTCTTAAAATGATTTTCACCATACTTAAAGTGATTGAAGTTATTCATTCTCTCTTAGGAATCCTATTTGATTTTCTACATATCAGAAAAGTAAAATATGTTAAATTTTTATTATTAATATTCCTGTCTTTGCTCTCATGATGCCATCTAAATTATTATTCCTTTATCAGCATTTGTGTGCTTTTTTTGTTTTATCAATTTTTATTAATTTATTTTTGTTACAGATGTTTCTCCTTTCCCCTCCCAGACACCCTCCTTCCCATCCTACCCCCAATCCCCCTTTTTTGTGTTTTATCTCCAACTTTTTTTAGCAGCGGACCTTTAGGAAAGTAGGGTACCCACTGGGAAATGAGCTTGGGGGTGTTGGGACTCTCAGAGGGGCAGTAGAGTTTGCGGCGTGAGGGGAGCAGAGGGAATGAACACAAATTAAATAGAAGAACATTATTCTGCATAGGAGCTTTGAAGTCAGCATCTTAACAGTATTATCACTGGCAACAGCCTAGTATTGTCATTTATCTTTGCCTTACTCCCTTGTGGTCCCGAATGTCTAGATATTCCAATTGGGTTGATGTACTATTGGGAGACACACAGAAAGAGAAAAAGAACTAATATTTATTGAGCACTTACAGGTGACAGGCTCTGTAGAGATACTTGCACATTCCATATCTCATTTGGCCACCACTATAATCCTCTAAAATTCATACGATTTTCTTCATTTTACTGTTGGAGATATTTGAGAGCAGTTAAGTAACTCACTCAGAGTCCCACTGATTATGCAGTAAATAGAGCTAATTGCTCTAGCAGCCACGTTAATGGGGAAGAAAGAAGGGACCAAAAAAGTCAACTTGGATTTGTTCTTGTCCTTGTGAATGTTGACACTAGTCTTATCTCAGGACACTATAGCCCTGAGATAGTCATATGAGAGGATTTGGAATGAAATACTTTTCAGAGGTTAGTGTCTTATATTCACTATCCCCAGATTCTTGCTTTAAACCTCTTGTGCTGAAGTCAACATTTGTTCTTCTTTATTTTTCCCATGTCACCTTCCACAGTACTTTTACATTATGATTACTTAATAAATATTTGTTAAATTTAATTTAAAATCTCCTTACAGGAGCAACAAAAAACAGTCATTTTATAATAGCAGTATAATTATGCTAGTGTTCAACCTGTGATATTTATGCTTGTCATAGTAATTGAGGACCCAATTAGAGAATTAAGAACTGAGTAAACAAAAAATTATTGATAGTGTTGACACTATAGCAAAACATACTTTAAAAAGGGGAGGCAAAAAGATAAAAGAAAAGGTTTTATAATACTTAAGATCAACAATTTATAAGATTTTAACATTGAAAATTATAATTAGGAGAGGAACTCAAATATGTATGAGCAATTAGTATCTCATGTTTTCTGTGAAAACAACTACCTCTACTGCCGACAACTGGAATTACTGCTTATCCCAGACAAGTGTGCTTCTTTCACTAATTGGGTCAGATTATATTTTTAGTCCAATTTTATTCAAATGAATGCAGGCCCTTTTTATTAACCTTAACGGTCAAGAAACATGAAACAACTGGAGAATATATCATTTGGGACTTCTAACTAACTGTATATGCTAATGTGACAGGAATGACTGCTTGAGGACAATTTTATCATATCGATTGCAATTATGAAGGGAAAATAAAATCTTCTCAAGTATTCGTCACTCTCTCTGAGCTAATTAAATTTTGTAACCTTTGCTAAACTCTTCAAACAATAGAATCTTACCCAGGCAATATAAAATAATTAGAAAAAAAAACTTTATTATCTTTCAAAAATGCCACTGGGTTGATAGATTTAACAGTTTCCTTTATTTGCATTTCAAGAAACACCAATAGCATTTATCGAATCTGTAGGACACTGTGCTAGTGGAGAGACATCAAGAAGTGTGAGATACAGTCACTACCCTTGAGAAATTTATAATCTAAATGGAGACATAAATTGGTTAAACTTGGTCCAAATTAATTTATTTAATCCTGTGATTTATTAGAATTATTCAGTGGGGACACATATGGGAATAATATTGGACTCCCATCTTAAAGTTATGTTAAAATAAGTTCTACCTCTTACCTTTGCTGAGAGAGACAAAAATGTTTTGAAAGATAATGTAGATGTCATTAGGTATCTTTCTGCTGAGAGAATAAAATTCGTTGATCCCTAGAGGATAAAGCACTAATTCTACGAGCATTTTATTTGATTGACTTGGGAAAGCAGTTCAAGTCCCATCTTTGCAACTAATTGGCAGTGTGGCTGTCACTTGTAACACATTATTGCTCCAGCCCCTATGCTAAAGGACAGGCTTTCAATGTCTTTGACTTGAGAGAAATCCTGTATCATTGAATAGGATGGCATATTTGCATCAGTAGACCATAGATTCTCACCTTCCTCCCCTCATAACCAACCAGGCCAACAAATCATGCTGAAACTGTAACGAACTCCATGCCTCTAATGTGTTTCTAGATGAGTTTTGTGTGTGAAAACTTATTTTAAAAATCTATGATATAGACATTACGTGTAAAAAAGATCAAGTTTTTTCCCCGGCTGGTGTGGTTCAGTGCTTGAGTGTTGACCCATGCACTGAGGTTGCTGGTTGGATTCCTGGTTAAGGCACATGCCCAGGTTGTGGGCCAAATCACCAGTGGGGGGCATGCAGAAGGCAGCCAATGGATGTTCTCTTTCATTGATGTTTCTACCTTTCTCTCCCTCTCCCTTCCTCTCTTTCTAAAAAATAAATAAACAAACAAACAAACAAACAAATAAATAAATAAAATATAAAATAAAAAAGATCAAGTTTTCTAATACTTGATGAGTACATGTTAGGTATAAAGAAAGTATTTAACATCATGAGATGTTTTACATTGATTTTCTTTTTTTTAATTTAATTTTTTTCTTGAGGCCTCAAAAAATTGAGTATAAACTCATAATTGTTCCTCTCCACGGAAATCTTTAGTAAAAGGCGAAAGATTTATGTGATCTGAAGAGAAACCAGAGTATTTACATTGATTTTCAATGCTTAAATTTGACAAAGGTGAGGGGAGAGAATTTTTCCCCTTCTAAATTGGGCCTATGGAAATAAGTGATGGGGATGATTAGGCAACTGCATTTCTTGGAAAAATGGTATGTGTATCTTTCTGGTTTATTTTGTTTACATGGTAATTGAGCCTTTCCTGATTATTACATTTCTTTATAAGTCACATTTAGTTGAAAGTTAATAATCCATTTCCTGTATCAATGGTATTAGTAAATGACTTACAAAATAATGTTCAGTCACACAGATCAGCAGTTTACATGGGTGAAGAAGGTCATTTGAGGTTTTCTAATTCACACCGCAGTCTATTCTCTATTAGGCACATTAAAGAAGTTGGTTAACTTTAAGAGCCTTTACAACACTGACATTTCAAATTATATGTGCTTTTTCTTTTTCTTTTCACAATAAGTTTTCAAACCTATAGAAAGGTTGAAAAATGAAAACAAAGAATAATACATGTGTACTCTTTATCTAGATTCACCAAATATTAACTTTTGCCACATTTCTCTCTCTCAATATGTAGATATATCAAGATATATTTTTATATCTTTCATATATATTCTAAGGAGACTATTTCTTCCTGATCCACTTGAAAGCAAGTTTTAGTATCATGAAAATTTGCCCATAAATATTTCAGCATGCATCTATCTTACGTAACTACAATATCATTATTACATCTAAAAAGATGACATTAATTCAATAACATCATCTAATATCAGCCCATAAATGTCTGAAAGGTATCTCTTATGCTGTTTTTTTTTAATCCTCACCTGAGGACATTTTTCCATTTTTTGCTCAGATAGAGTGGGAGGGAAAGAGAGGAAGAGAGAGAGAGAGAGAGATCGATGTGAAAGGGACACATCGAATGGCCGCCTTCCACACAACCCAACCAGGGCCGGGGACAAACTGCAACCAAGGCACATGCCCTTAGCGGGAACTGAACCCGGGTCTCTCTGGACCGCAGGCCGACGCTCTAACTGCTGAGCCAAACCAGCCAGGGCTCTTATGCTGTTTTTTTAAAATCCAAGATCCAATTAATTTTCACATAATGCATTTGGTTTTTATGTCTTTTTAATCTCTTTTATTCTAAAGTAATTCTGATTTTTTTAGACTCATAAAATTTTTCAGAGTCCAGCCTTACGTGTTCTTTCTTACTAAAAGAAAATTAAAAATTTGAAAAAAGAGCACTGATAAATGGACTATGTGTTATTTTATCTGTTGCCAAGTTCTGAGAAAAAACTGATTTGTCCTAAGTTCTTTGGACTGGCAACCTAACTCATTTTATATCCAAAAATGTGAACAAAAGGAGAAATCCCATTATGTGTCCATAATAGCCAGGAATTCCGGGATTTAAAAGTAGCCACGAACATGTAGATCATTAAAACTTGATTACCCTTTTCCTGAGTCTACTTAACTATCCAAAATTATGTTATAGAATTTTTGAGCTAGAAGAACCTCAGAGGCAAGTTAACTAGCTCAACTAGTGAGGAAACTGAGTCTCAAAGAGTCTGTGATTTGCCAAGGTCACACTGCCAGTTAAATGTAGAGATGGGACCAGAAATAAGGTGTCTTGATTTCCAATATAATATACTTGTGCCCCTAATTCTTTCATCATCTTCTCTGAAATCACACCATCTAACATTTTTATTTTTTTTCTTTCCCATTTATTTTTGTCCTTCCTAGTTCTCCTTCCTTCCACTCTTTTTCTTTAAAAAGATCTGTGTTTTTATTTTATTTTTTTCTGTTTCACTTTTGCCAGGGTTTCTCAATGCGTAGTAGCAGTATTGACATTTTGGGTTAGGCAATTCTTCGTTTTCAGGGTAGGGGGCGCTTTCCTGTGCATTGTAGGATATTTAGCAGCATCACTGGATTCTACTACCCATTTGATGCCAACAGTACTCTTGCATTTGTGACAACTAAAAATGTCCCTAGACAATGCCAAATGTCCCCCAGGGGGCAAAATTGTACCTGCTTGAGAACTATTACCAAATACTTCTTATTTTGGCAATGGTTCTTATTTTATCTATTAATTTTCCTTTTACTTCCGGTCAATATAAATTCGAAATTTTATCATAGCATAGGTAATGATAGCATAGGTAAAATTTTTATTCTATTACTTTTACTTAACATTTTGTAACAGATATTTTCACTATTGCTATATGACATGGAAATTTGTTGTTTCTGACTACCTAGCATCCCTGCTCCCCTAACCAATACCAGCACCCCTTTGTCCCTTGTGGAACTGTGCCTTCCCCTTCAATCATTTAATTCTAGGGTACTTCTCTCAGTCAAAGGTGTGGAAAAATGACCCAGGCCTGACCACTCATAATAATGCATCTCCACAGCCACAATGAATCTCAGTGATAGGCACATGACTCAACTTGGGCCAATCAGAGCCCTTTGCTGAGAATTTGCTAGAAAAAAAACCTACTTCGTATGGGTTGCTAAACTGTGATTCTGTAAAGTTGCATTCTCTGCAGCTATGTTCTCGGCTTGTCTGTGGTTCAAGAGAATGAAGCCAACACAGACAGAAAGCAGAGCTGAATGATGGGAGAGAAAATCCTGGAGGTATCAATTTGAGCCCCTAGATCTACTCATCTCTGAGGGCAGTGCAACACTTGTCAATAAGTCTCTTCTCCCACACCTCTTTTCCCCATTTATTTTTTGATAAATTGGTTTAACAGGAATTCTTTTGCTTGAAACAAAAAGTTCTGATTAAGAAAACAGTATTCATGTTAATACTATACAATGGCTCATATTTCCTCAAGTTGTAGTGCCATGATTTCCTTAACTATTCTGCTAACATTGAATTTTAAAATGATTTGAAATATTTTTTTCCATTATAAATGCAGTGTTCTTTTTCAGTGCCTTCTGAATGACTTCTAGCAAATTTTCTATTAGTTTCCTCAAACATGGGCCCTTGGTTTAAATTCTGAACTACAAGGTTTAAAATTGAGTGATTTACCACCTAATTTAAGGCCATTCGGATTTGCTTTATCCCTTTTGCTTTTTTACTTCCATTATAATCATTCTGTCTGTGATTATACCAACTATTGTGGCACCATTTGCTCCAGCTGCATGGGCACATTTGAATGCATTAGTGTGCTACGTCAGTGATTTAGGAAATTTTTTATGGTATCATGAAGATTTATTTCTGGCCATTGTAGGACCTGCTTTTTTATTTCCTTTAACTATTAACCTCAAAAACGATATTGTTCAATTTTAAGCCTTTAAGACATTTACATTCACTTCAGATATAGAATTACTCTATTATCCGAATGTCTGAAAATGCCTCCGATTCTTTCATTACTATGAAGTGTCTATGTACACCATTTACCTGCATAAATTAACTTTTCCATATCTTAAGATCTAGTTCAAATGTACTGTTTTCTCTGTGATTTCTTTTATCGCTTTGCTTACAATTTGTTTTTTCCTCTCATTGCAGTTTGTAAATCTCTCTTGTATCTGTGAGAAGTGATGCAGTAATGGGGGTAGTGCCACTTTAGGGCCCTGTAATAGTCATAGACTTGTCTTGCAGAGAAATCATAGGTAGCAATATACTACAGAACATACTACATTAAATAATTTATGAAAGCATAATTTGTGATAGCTAAAGATTAGAAAAAAGTAAAAAGTTTATCATTAGCGGGATAGTTTAATGAGTTATGATACAATTATAAAATGGAATATTTTATGCAACTATGAAATGGTAAAAAAGAACAAATATGTTTTGTACATATTGCTATGGTGCAACCTGCAAGATATATTAAGTATGTGAAGAGGTGGTATAGCAGAGTAGTTAAAAGTGTGGACCCCTGAATCTGGCCTCAGTTCAAAGACCAGCTCTGCTATTTACTAGCTGTGTAAACTTGAACAAGTTTCTCAAGCCCAGTTCCTTGGGTGTTTTTCACCTGTGAAATGAGAATGCTAACGGTAGTACCTCACATAGGATTGTTTGAGTATTGAATGAGTTAATACATGCAAAGAACTTAGAAGAGTGTCTGGCACGTAGTTAAATAATTGAACTATAACAGTGGAATGGGATGTGAGTAAATAATTTTTGGATTATGTAATATAATTAATAAAAAATGAAAAATTAAGTATTAAAAATATATTGCTATTACATATGTTCACCAGTACTGCCTTTTGTTGTAGTATTGTACATATTCCTATAGAGGGTTATGTCCTCTAGTATCATAATATTTTTGAGGATAAGACCTGGCTTTTCCTCAAGTGTGTGCCCTATATGATTTCCAGCATGTGCCATATACAAGGTGAGTTCCACATGTATTTGTTGACCATCTTAATAAAATATTCCGATTCCTCTTTGCATATAAATATTTCAGAGCTTTAACATTTAGAGGGTAATTTTAGAAGATGTCTAAGGGAGCTGATCCTACAATTTCAACATTTTAGGGGCAAGTCTAGAGATTTTGTTAACATGGGAGTTAAGTCTACTTATACTTGGAACTATACAGTATTCTGAAAATGCTATTTCATTTTCCTTTTTCAAAAAGGAGGTCATGGCATTTTTAAGGCATATGTTTGCAGGCATGTACCATTTTAGAAAGCCTGACATATGAAAGTCTCAAATACTTGGTAAATTGGAGGGTTGCATAAATTCAATTACAGAAGAGTTCTTCGTGTTCCCAAATCACTAATCATGGGGTTTCTCTAAACAGGAGAGCATGACAACTCATGTTCATTTGGCAAAAGAAATTTTGTACTCTATCTTAAAAAGATGTCCTTCTTTATTTGTTTTTATTTTTTTGTCAATCTTCACCCGAGGATGCTTCTTCCATTGATTTTCAAAGAGAGTGGAAGAACGGAAGCGGGAGAGAGAGAGAGAGAGAGAGAGAGAGAGAGAGAGATTGGTTGCCTCCTGACCTGAATGGGGCCAGGGAACAAATCTGCAACCCAGTTATGTGCCGGTGACTGGGAATTAAACCCGATACTCTTTGGTCCG